TCAACAGCAAGACTGCGACTGTCATCACCCAGCTGCTCATGGCTGTCCATGAGATCACAGTCCGAGAATGCGAGAAGAATTCCTTGCCAATGGAGAAGAAGGAAATGGCGTGGAATGACTTTCGGTCGAAGGGCTCGAAAACTGTGGTTGTCTGGGATCTGTTGTGTGACAAGGGCATGAAGGAGATTCCAGACAACTCTGAGCCTGGGGACTGGCACCTGTGGCTTCAGAGGGAAACTGGGGTGGCGGTCATTGAGCAGATTCTCCAGTGCATGTTCAATGTCACTCCGCCAGTTCATGGCCGTGATCGAGTCAAGGGAAAAGAGCTGACATACTGGCACTGGTGGCAGGCCTCCAAGAGACTCGTTGAGGAGTATACGACGGAAGATGTCATCTCAAAGGAAAAATTCAGGCCCAAAGACCTGCAGAGCTGGATTGTGCCTTTGTCGTGCAAGATTTGGGATGCTTACAATTACACCATGCTTGTGTATTGTCAGAAGAAGCTGGAACAGAAGGCAAGGGGGGAAAACCTAGACGCGGTGAGCCAGATGGGTGATGATGTCCCGCCATCGGAAGATGAAGAAGAGGATAACTATGTGGATGTTTACCAGACCACTGGGGACTTCGTTCCTGATTGGGGAGTAACTGCAGATGGCTTTCAGGATTGATTAGTGTCAATGATTGAGCTGAGCGAGTAGGTTTATTAATTGTGTTGCCAAAACAAAGCCATCTAGTGGACCTCCTCTTCTTCATCCCATTCGTCCTTGGGCACTGGGGACTTTCACAAGGCAGAGTGCCAGAGAGTTCTCGGTGTGACTAAGGCAGAGTGCCACCAAACAGTGTGGCCTGTTCAGATTCTTTTTTGTGTCGCTGTCACTAGGCAGAGTGCCGGAAAGGCAGAGTGCCAATGTGAAATCGCATTTCTTGGGGCGTTTGAATGTTGTCACTTTTGCAGTCCGTCTGATCTGGCACATTTCAGCTTGCCGTTTTGGAAAACAAAGACGATGCCTATGCATACAGTCATGTCGGCAGTAACTCGATGGATTAATTACTGTGCCTGTGAATTGATTGGTTCAACCTTGGTTTCCTGTCAACTTGGTTTCCTGTGACAGCCCCATAAAACCTTTCAGGTGCTGGCGTCCAAGGTGGTTGGCTACTATGGCAAGGCTGGAATGCATGATGCAAGTGATTGTGAGTTGTGGAAGCTGAAACGCTTGCTATCTGGCCGTTGATGGGACCATGCCACGTAGTGTGTACGGACTCTAGTGACTAGTGAGTGGATGCGCAAGAATTTCTTGACCTGGCCGCAATCAACATATGTGTGTTCAAGATCGAGTCCCTTAGTGCTGCAGTGGTGCTTCCAGGCAGAGTGCCAGAGACAGTCGCCGAGAGCAATGGGAAAGTCGAGGAAGAGCGCTCGTGTGAGTGATCAGATGATGTTCCCAATGCCGGGGGCAATGAACCCAGCAATGGGAATGAACAACCCACTGGCCATGATGAACCCTTTCATGTTGCAACAGCAGCAACAGATGCAGCAGCAGCAACAGATGCAGCAAATGCAGCAGATGCAGCAAATGCAGCAACAGCAGCAGATGGCTGCTGTGGGTGAATCAAGGCAGAGTGCCAACGACTCCTCCTCGTCGGAATCAGAAGACCAAGAAGTGAGGAGGATTCGTAAGGAAACCAAGAAGAACAGAGCAAGGCAAGCAGCAACGATCGGGATTGATCGGCTGGCAACGTCCACTACCGATGCAGATGCAATCCCGAGAAGCGCCACGACATTGCGTTCGATCCCTCTGGCTGCTTGTCAATCAACAGAGTATCCCTAAGGTCAGCAATGATCCCTGAACCCTCCCCCCACAAAGCCTAGATAAGCCTTACTGACTGAGGTGAAGGTGAAAGCTCTGCTCGAGCGGGTTCATAGTGCATGGGATGCCGCGGTCACGGCTGACCTGCCACAACAAACAGCGCTGCAACTGCTCTTCATATTGACCAATCTGAAGCCGACCACAAAGGTCAGTGAACTCAGGGTCGATAGCAAATACAGCTTGCTTGGTCAGCGATGTGCGAATGCCCATACGCGTCAATCCCTCTGCGATAGCAGCAGTTGGAACCGCATAGCCAAACCGGTTCTGGGAATGGGGGTGAATATGTCTGAGCATTCTGTTGACAGGGTTGCCTTGGAGTGTGGATGGCAGTCCACATGGATGACCGAGGATGACCTATGCCAGGCGTAGAGCGAGAGCAAGGCAGTCCACTGAGACGCAGGGACGTCTCAGTTTCAATCCGAGTCCTGCTCCAGCTGCCCCGCCAACGGTTCCGCCGTCGGAAGGCAGAGTGCCAGACGTGGTCCGTTCTGGTCCTTTGCCAACGACTGCTCCTAGTTCCAATCCAAGCCAGGCTGTGGGTCGCAGCCCGGCTGGGGAACAAGGCAGAGTGCCGATTCAACAGCCGCCTGCCTCCCCTCATGCCGTTCCGGGTTCCAATGCAAGCCAGGCAACCGAAGGCAGCCAGGCTGCAGGAAGTGAACAAGACAGAGTGCCGAGGGTTGTGGAAGGCAGAGTGCCAGTTGATGGGAATGCTCCTGCCATGGATGACGATGGTCTAGCGCCGGCAGAGGCAGAGATCAGGCCCGATCAGGAGATCGTCATGCCTCCTGCAGAAGTGACCACTGCACCTCAAACAGTTGAGTTGCCAGGGCCAGACACCTCCACGAACAGTGACTCGACAGCCGGTGCTGACGTGAATGCCGTTGTGCCCTTTGCGACACCCAAGTCGAAAGCCAAAGCAAAAGCCAAGGGCAAGTCGAAAGCCAAGGCCAAGTCCAAGGCCAGGGCGACGGCACCAAACACAGAGTCGCAGGACGAGGTCGCAGTCGAGGTCGATGATGAGGTCATGGCCGAGGCCGGGGCCGAGGTCGAGGCCGGGGCCGAGGTCGAGGCCGAGGTCGAGGGCGAGGCCGACGACAGTGCCTTCTTTGAGGAGGAGGAGGAGGATGCTCCGAATGAGTCGAGCAGACCTGCGAACCGGTGGAACCAGGACCTCTGTGTCATTTGCCATTCGGAGATGCACCCGGGCCAGGCAGGCTGGTTTCGTTTGCCTTTGGTTAATGAACCATTGATAGTGGTGCCTGTCCTGTTTGTACATTCCACTAATCCTCAGAACAGTACCTCTCACATGACGTGTCTTTTTCTGTTGCTTCCCTGGAATGCAGGCATTGGAAGCGCTATCGTGTGGCCACCTCTTTCACAGCGAATGTATCAATCGATACTGTGAGTCGACCGGGCGGAACAAGGCCACCGCTTGCCCTCTCAAGTGTGCGAGCTCAGCCTCTATGGCAAGGTTCTTTTTGGGTCCGAGGGGGTCCACGGGAAGCAATGCCCCTGTTCCTGTCGAAGATGATGCTAATGATGTGGACGCAATCGTTCAGGAAATACAAGCTCAACTCGTTGACGACCGCACTCGTGAAGAGGAAGCTCCTGAGGTCAACGACCCCGTGGTGGACTGATTGCGTCGACAAGGTGGCTCGGTAACAAGGCAGAGTGCCACAATAACTGGCTCATGTGTATGTGTTGTCGGTGATGTGGCCTCGAGTCTTATTAATTTTGGAGGTGTGGCAATGCCATTGTCACAGACATGTTTCTGAAGGCGGAGTGCCATGGGTTGTAACATGTGTTCCATGATCATTATGTATTGACATGATTGTGTTGCCTTGTGTTGCATTATGCCATCAGGAATGTATGTCTCTTTGTAATCCCAGGCGGTCTGTCGATTTCACAAGGATACTGCAGATGCCTGTGGACAAATCCGCGCCAAAGGCAGGATCCAACCTGTCCTAGAACACCAGTTGGGAGGGACCCAACAAAGGACCACGGAAGTCTGCAATGGGGTGCATCCGTGTTTAAAAAAACATATGGCCTTTGAAGGGACACCATCCCCATACCGCCCCACAGGCCCTGCAAAATCTTAGAAGACATTTGTGACACTTGTGGCATGCCCCGGAAAAATCTTATTGAATCTTATTGAATCTTATTGAATCTTATTGAATCTTATTGAATCTTATTGGTCCATCATTTTTAAAAGGGACACGACTCCAGATCGCCCCAAAAAATCTTATTGAATCTTATTGAATCTTAGAAGACATTTGTACAATTGTGGCCTACCCCGAAATCTTAAATCTTATTGAATCTTATTGAATCTTATTGAATCTTATTGAATCTTATTGAATCTTATCGGTTTTACAAGGGACACAGCCTCCAGCTCGCCCAAAAAATCTTATTGAATCTTAGAAGACATTTGCAGGATTGTGGACTACCCGAAAAAATCTTATTGAATCTTAGTGTTCGGGCCATCACGTTTTGAAGGCACACCGACCCTGTACCAGACAATTGCACACATGTAGCATCCCCTCCCAAAAGTCTTGTTGGAGCTTATTGAATCTTGGGAGCTAGTTATACAATATCGAATCCCATTGAATCGGCACAGTCCAGCTAACCCAACCAAATCCCTACGAGTAGTAACACATCTTATGATTAAGCATAAACTAGGTGGCACTCTGCCTTGAAGTACCTTTAAACCATGGACCTCCTTAAAACCTAAATCATAGCCGGCCCTTCGCATTCTGGATGGATTTCCGTTCTCCTACATTTCATCGTTCTGGATGAACCCCTGAGTATGAGCTTGGTTGACACAGGGTGTTTAGGAATCTTATAATATGAATGGCAGGATGACGTGAGCGATTCATCATGAGAAAACGGGCGACCGCTTTTTGTCGTTCGCCTCGCCAGCTCGTCAGTGCAGCCGCCGCCGCTTGTTTTTCTCGGACTCGGCTTGAAACCTGTAGCATATGTAATATGCTTGCATCATCGACCGTTTTTTGGCCGATAACAAAGACGCCTTGTCTATCCTCTCATCTAGCTGCTCCTTGTCGATGGCGGGATTGTAGCTTGCACTGCAACTGTGCCTCATTTGCCATTGTTGTTCTACACTCTCCCTGACTCCTACAGAATCTGATGGAATGTGCATTTATTTATTATACTGAACCAATAATAACGGCGATGTCTGCAGACGTGCCGCTTTCCTTCGTACTTCTCGTCGCCTGGAAGGCGAACTTGGAAGTGGGGCAAAACCGTAGACCGATGCTCCACGTGTGTGATGACCACATCATCTCTCATCTTGAACTTCGCCGTCAGGAAGTCGGGCACGGCTTTGCAAGTGCTCAGCAGCCGCCTCGAAGCTCGCTTTCTCTCATCATCTGCCTCTGCCGGAGCTTCTGCCGCTGGAGCTGCCGCTGGAGCTTCTGCCGCCGGAGCTTCTGCAGCTGGAGCTTCTGCCGCTGGAGCCTCTGCCATTGCTGCATCATCATTCCCGTCTTCAGCAGCGGCACCATCGTCTTCCTCCTTGCTGTTGTTCTCGGGATCTTACACAGAAATGCATGACAACGTGAGTCAATCATCGACTCAGTTGGTCCCTTTGATCTACTGGATAGGAAATGACGGGCACCATGAAGCATGACTGCATAGGCCCGGGTCCTCGTCCTCCTGCCTCTGCACTTGCTCCAGCAGCTGTCTGGCGGCTGCCATTGTCTCATCTTCCTCCTCTTCCAGAAGATCTGCCTGGAGCAGACAACAGATGAATGGCAAGAATGAGTCTAAGTTTGATTGCCTTCCGAGCCTCATCGTCCTCCTGGTGTTCGGCCTCGCCGGCCTTTGTGCGCTTCCGGCGCTTTTCATCTATCTCATTCAACAAGTCATCCAAAGCCTTGAGCTCGGCCGGTGTGCAAGCTGCGGCGACAGCTGGGAGCTGGCACAGTGCTCTGATCTTAGCACTTTTGGTGCTGTTTCGTCGAAGCTGCAGCGCATATTCGGCAGCCCATTGAGACAAAGTCTCCGAAGTCAGCTTGACGATGTCCTTGCTGCGAATCATCCAGACAAGCAGCGTCTGCCCGGATGCGGATCTCCGAAGCACAGCAGCACATCCAAGTTTGTCGCAGAGGCGAGGGCCGACGAAATGGATCGTGTAGCTGAAAACTTCAACCTCGTCAGCAGATTGATTGCATCGCTATCTGCTACGTGGGAGAAAAGTAGGGGCATTGATTGGCCTTAACAACTCCTGACCAGGCAGACTATGGCTCGGTCATGAGGCATCTTCCGTCTGCAGCAGCAGCTCCTTGACCATCGGCCTCAATGGTGAAACAGGGAAATGCAATAGCATAAACAACAGGAAGCTGTGCTTCTTTGGGTATACTGCCCCGGGGTATTTCTTCTAGAAACAGGTGCCATCATTCTGCAAAGGTACTTCTCAAGCCGGAAAGCAAGAGCTTTCACCTGCTCTTGCTCTGCAAGGCAGTCCTGCATTCTGCTGTCGCCTTGCTTCACCTTGGTCTCGTCCACCTCATAGGCAGGAAGGCTGCCCTTGAAGATCATGCCAATCTCATCCATCTGGAGGGCCTCCGCAAAAATCTTTTACGTGATGCCAAATAAGCGGCTGGCAAAACATGTTAAAAAAATATGCGAGTCTAGCAGCATACAGGACTGCCGGGGTCGATCCCAAGACAACGTAGAACTTGCTCGCAAGTCGCAGCAGCATTCCGGGCTGGCACAAGCCCGGAATCCAAAATCTCGAGCTTGACTCTGCAGGATCCAGGCCCGACCTCAGCGGCATAGGCTGTTGATCCTGTTGTGTTTGGCTACTTCTCAAATGCAATACAACTTCAGACAGCCGAGAATCTTTGCCGAAAGAAGCAGGCCCTTGAGCCAATTCAACTCCACCTTGTTGTGGTGATACGAGGAGGTAGACTGGCAGCCTTTCAGGATGTTCTCCAGGTTGAAGTGGCTGCCTGGGTTATGATAGCCTTAATTCTCTTAGGCTGTTCGTAGCAATGACATGTATGTATGACACAACGATAAATGTAGAAGTGAAATGATTAGTGAATGATTCAGAATATTACAGAAAGATAGCCGCTTTGTTCTCTTCAGACATCAACTCATTCGTCCACTGCTTCCATCAATCAATGATTCACTGAGGACCCTTCATTCGCCGAAGCAATCATGAAACCAAGATTCTTCCTGAGAAGGAGGTCGGTTTCCAAACCGAGGCTTTCAGGGCACGGACCTCGCTGCCCTCGAAGTCCTCCACACCCAGCTTCACGGCCCGAGGCCGGTCTGTCTTGCCTGCCTCCTGTTGCTTCTCGTTCGCAGCCACCTTCTGCTCCACAGCCCGGATGGAAAGGCATTGCAAGTTGCTCATGCTTGCCTTGAGATTCTTCACTCCACGTTTGCAGCTGTCCTCAACTGCAGCAAAAACCTGCTCCACATTCGCACTGAAAGCCAGGCCTGGGTGCCAGCTCAGCAGCACAGCCTTGGCCTTCTCCGTCATGGACCATCCTTCCAACTCCAAACATGCCATTGGCTCCCTGTAGCACTCCCATCGCGTGAAACAGCACCTTTGCTGAAGTAGCCGGTTGGAGCCCTCCTTGTTCTCCATCTCTACGATCGTTTTCCACTCCTTCTTGATGCTTTTCATGATCTCATCTTGCAGCTGAGCCTTTTGAAGATCGTCCTTTGGGTCGACGAGCAAAGCTGCAAAGCGAGCGGGGCTGGAGCGGAGGTAGAGGACGTACATGCTCATCTCGAAAATCACTGCCAAAAGCGCCATGAAATGATCTCGGATAAGATCCTCTTGCACCGGAGGGCGCCTCTGCGAAACCGTCAAGACCTTAGCTTGCCCAAAATAAAATGATCGGCCTCCTGCTCCGTTCCACCTACATTACGTTCAGCCGCAGCCTGGTCATGTTCCTAGTCTGGCTGTATGTAAAATAGTGCCCCCGGTACTTGGCCACACCGGCGGTTTGCTCCCGCTCTGGAACGGGACGATGGACTCTGTCCAGTGTGTGGTGTGTTGTGTGTGTGTGGCACATGAATGAAAGCCGAAGGACTTCAAGTGCCTGCTCTCGGCTAGCTGCCGCAATATCAGAACGAGGAGGCACACAAACAGCATGACTATGAAAGCTGTATCCAATGAGATTGAGCATGAAATGACATGACCGAGCATGAAATGACATGCTCGAGAATGAAATGACATGATCGAGCATGAAATGAAATGATCGAGCATGAAATGAAATGATATGAACTAACGAATGAACAAAAATGACGATGAACATCGATGAGCAATGACAATGGAGATGAGCCGAAAATGACCGGACAGTGATGTCAATGATGAAACAACATGAGACCCAACAGTGATTGACTTGGGAGGACAATGACTGGCACCTTCCACATGAGTTGCGTGAGACGACCGCCGGTCTGGGGTCCTCATGCAAGGTTGACCAATATGAATGATGTATCGAAATAAAGCCTTGACTGACCGGCGTAGCTCAGGAGCGGCTTTGACTCCTTGCTAACGATTTGCAATAAATAAGCCATGTGTCCGAAGACACCATCATGTCAACGAGCCAACGTGAGGAAGAATGAGGCACGTTAAGTGAAACCTTATGAATCATGAACCACGACGATCGATGTGTCTAATGCTTTCTACCAAACGGTTACATCACAAATTTCAGGACAAATAAAGTCTGGCTAACTTGCCGTAAGGCCCTCAAGGCTAGTTTTGGGTTTGTGTATCTGTGCATAGCAAGAACCGTCGCGAAACATCATACATGTTCATGACATCCTGCGAAATGCCCAAGAACTCAGACTGAAGCTGAGCTGCCCCTGCAGCATCGGCCTCTGTGTCGTGGCAGAGGTGCAGTCGGCCAAGGGCCGATGTCCCCATCGAGTCTCGGACCAAGACCCAAATTCGACTCTCGTAGTCGTTCCCATGCACCCAAAGCGTGTGCTCGTGGAGGGCGAACAACTTGCTCATGTTTCTTTCCTCAATGGGGAGCAATACTAGTCATCTTTGATGATTCGATTTCGCTACACCAATGATAGCAGTAGTAGTAGTCGTCGTCCTGGTAGGAGTATGAGTAGTAATAGTACTGGAACTCGCACTACTACTAGTCGTCGTAGTCGCAGTAGTCGTCGTAGCACGGGCGGGTCGGGTTTTGTGTGCTGGGTGGCCTTCCCCGTGGTCTTTGCAAACACCAGTGTAGTAGTCTCACCTCCACTCGGCCAGGGTGGAACCGCCATGCCTCGAGGGCGTGCACTGCCATCTGCGGGACTCTCTCAGGTGTGTTTCCACAGGGCCCCTGGCCAACTCACCTGTGTCGGCCCCAATGCCACCGGCCAATGCAACGTCCCTGTTGCGATTGACCCTGCTGTCGCAGTCACTGCAGGACCCCTGCGACCTGCGTGGCAAGTGGCTTGTGCAGTGGCCCCCGAAGCTGCAGGCCAGTGGCACTGCGGTGATGTATGGCGGGGGGTCGGTGAGTAGGTCGCAGCAGCAGAACCCAAAAAGCACGTAGGCAAGTCTCGTACTACTGCTAGTGTTAGTGCGAGTGCGAGTGCTACTGCTGCTGCTGCTGCTGCTGCTGCTGCAAGCACTAGTAGTACTTAGAGTATTAGTATTAGTATTAGTATTAGTATTAATATTAGCAGTAGTAGTAGCAGTAGTAGTAGTAGTAGTAGTAGTAGTAGTTAGTCGTAGTGGTGGTAGTAGTAGTGGTTGTAGTAGTAGTAGTAGTAGTAGTAGTAATAGTGGTAGTAGTAGTAGTAGTCGTCGTCGTAGTCGTAGTCGTAGTCGTAGTCGTAGTAGTAGTAGTAGTAGTAGTAGTAGTAGTAGTAGTAGTAGTAGTAGTAGTAGTAATAGTAGTAAAATAATCAGTAGCAATACTAAAGTAGTAGCAGTAGTACTAGTACTAGTACCAGTTCTTGTACAAGTACTAGTACTAGTACTGGCTACCACTAGCACTAGTACTGGTACTCGCACTAGTATTAGTCGTAGTAGTAGCAGCAGCTAGCAGAAGTAGTAGTATATAGAAGCAGTGGCAGCAGCTAATAATCGTAGTAGTCGGAGCAACAGTAACAGCAGCAGTTGCAGTAAGGGTACTAACAGTAGTAGAGGGTGTTGTTCATGGTGGTGACGGTGATTGTGGTGGAGGTGGTAATGTTCCCGGTAGCACTAGTGATGGCGGTTGGGGCCGTGGCAGTCGCAATAGGTAGTGGTAGTGTACTACCAAGAGTATAGTAGTAGTAGAAGTAGTAGTATTAATAACAAGAATAATAAGAGTAGTAGTAGCAGTACTAGAAGTACTAGCTGCAGCAGTAGTAGTAGCAGTAATAATAATAGTAGTAGTAAAGTCGTAACAGCAGTTATATTGTAGTACTGGTAGTAGTCGTCGTCGTCATATAGTAGTTTAGAGTCCTTTCAAAGATGCAATGTGCTCTAAGTAAGAAGGAAACATGCAGATGCAGTGATTTTATTTCCGGCACCAGCAAACCTCGAGGCTAGGTCTCTGCATATGGCCATTTAGGACTTGTTACTACTACTTTCAAATACTGATGCTAGTTGTGTGAAATAGTCGAAGTAGTTGTCGATCTCATACTAGAACCAGTGCTGGTCAAGAAGCCAGCCACAGACACATCTCCGTCATGGGCTTGACCATCTCAGCCAAGGATTGAAACAAGCTGTGAGCCTCCTCATCCAACAAGGCCTCACGACAGAAGATTGAGCACTCCGTTGCGGCGTGCGAGGAGAGCCTGCCTTGACACACAGGTCGAGGACACGGTCGTAGGAGCGATCATGGTTGGTCTTCTGCTCCACGAACGGGTTGCGGCCCTCCTGCACAGAGTCTGGCTGCTAGCATCGGTGCTGCCAGACCAGTGCCTCTCCTCCATGCCCGTCCACATGACGGCCAAGAGAGTCGCCGTGTACTTTCTCGTGAAAGACTGGGCCGAAAACCCCCACGAGAGCCAACGGCCCTGAGAGAACTTGCTGAGCACTCTCCTGGGCTTCATCTCTTAACAACAGAAAACAAGTACGGGTGTGCTATCATTCCATTGCCGGCCCCACGACATGCACTTTATTTGCTGCGAGCTTCCCAGACAGCGACTGCAAGATCTGAACTGTCCGGTCGAAGTCCAGGCGCTCATCTCCCGACGGGGAGAACCCGTTCCTTAGCTCAATTTGCAACACAAGTGGAGAATGCAACAGGAGTCGGTGCCGCTGAGTCTCTCCTGCAACAACCCGGGTCCAAAGAGCTGCTGCAAAGTGTCATCTGGCGAGGCCTTTAAAAAATAAGCCAGTCAGCAGGCATGACTTCAATCAATCAACAGCTGTTGTCGACTGGCTGCTCTCTTACTAACTGGCCATGTGTTGCTGACCGGGCACGATTTCCACGTACCGCCGTAGTGCCTGTTGCCACGTGGATCCTATCTTGTTCGTTGCCCAGGGAGCTTTCCGAGCCCGCATCAGCCAGGATGTCAGACCAAACATTCCTCGTCTGTCTCAATCAATGAGCACTAGCGAGCCAAACAGACATACATACACACGAACATCTATCCATCGATCCAGGCATGAGTGCCTGCTTGCAGGATTGCCAGAAATCCACTCCAGATGTACATTGTGCATGCATCTCTACATACATGGCATGTTAAGAAGAAAAGTCATGATATTTCAACACCACACTGACATTATGGTTTTAAACATAATTAATTGGACGTGCACAACAAGTGCAGCTGTAGATATGTTAACATACAAAAACACATGCGTGGACATACACACATGTATGTCGGTAGATGCATATAGCCGCAGTTATGCACATACCCTAGGATCAAAAAGCAACTCCTCGTATTCACTACCCAAGCCCTGTCTGTCAAATAAATGGCATCCCAGGCTCGCTTCAGACCAGCAGAGGCATTGAACACTCGACGAAAGTGAGTGCTCAGCTTGTGCCTGCAAGTGGAATGCCAACTTCCGAGCCCAACTACACCCCATCTTCACGATCATTCTTGCACAGTCTTCACCCATCATGGTTGGACACTGACTACGGCGACCCAGGTGCAGTTCGTCCCGTCGGAAAGCCACAGGCAACTGCAGATTCGCCAGGAACTGAAAACCGGCGAAAAGCGCCGACCCTTCATCAGGGTTCAAAATGATGCGGACTCTATCATCATCATCCAGGCTCAGCCATACACCATCGCCCTTGTTCACATCATACATATAGGGCTTGCCATCATGATACCGTCGCTGAATGCCTTCTTTCGGGTCGGCACTTGGGTACCCAACTTTGCCCGGCTTCAGCTCAATGTCCAGCAGCTCCAACGAATGGAGCACGGCCTGAACTTGCTCACGAGTCGCCAAGCGTGCCTGCTGTATTCTGGAGAGGCTCTTTGGCCTCAGTTGTTGCAGGTGCTTCGCCCTGTGCAAAATCCACGTACATGCTTGGTTTTACCGAGAAGCTGCTTCGCTCGGGCACGGCTGTCATCAACCATTTTGCCGGCCAGGCCATCTGCAAGCTCCTGTGCTGCTTCGAGCTTCGAGCTCGTCTCGGCGGTTGTGGCCAGGAGGTCGCTCAGGCGCTGGACCACCCACGGCACAGCCAGGTCGCTTGTTGCGACGATGGGACACCACAACTCGGTTTCGCAGATACTCTCGAAGCAAACTTGGATGGTTGCTCATCATGTCATGAAACAAGTCAGTAACTCAACCGAGTCTCCTCCTTAAAGGCTTTCGGCGAAGCGTCGCACAGGAAGCTGAGGCTGCGGTACGTCTGCTGGTTCAGCTCCTGCCCGGTGCTTCTGAGAAAGCATGCAAATTTAAGGTCTGGTGCCCAGCAAATAGCGAATATGAGGTGTACCAGATACGGGCTCACTGCTTTGTGAAAAAGACACAGAGCCAGAGATGATGCGATCGAAATAGCATGATATAATTAGTCAGCGACTGAAAATTTCAAAAAAGTACGTCTCACAGGCCGTGAATCAGCATCAGCGACACTTCGAGTGACGAAATCGGAGCAGGAGGAGACAGAGAGAAGTGAGTGAACATGACACACATTTTGCCCTCGGCAGCAAGTCGGAAAATTTGTTTCGGAGTGAATGAAGCTTGTATCCAAAGATTCAGCAGGGCCAGCAAGCAACAGTAGCCGGCGATATTTGTGCAGAGTCCTGACTAAACCAGAGTGATAGGGACAGACAGAGGGAGAGAGGGGAGAGAGAGAGAGAGAGAGAGAGAGACAGAGAGAGAGAGAGAGAGACAGAGAGAGAGAGAGAGAGAGAGAGAGAGAGAGAGACAGAGAGACAGAGAGAGAGAGAGAGAGAGAGAGCGAGCGACCAAAAGCGTGAGACACTGGCACATACATTCACGGCAGCAACCGAAACAACTACTCTCCGGAGCCTTCGTTATGCTGGTGCCGGCCAATCGCAGATATCTGAAAGCCAAGTCGGATGCGAGCCTAAGCTTCGGCACTCCATAAGACAAATACACTAACCTGACCATGTGTGTTGCAGCTTATGTCCGGCCTGTGTGAGTGCGAGGGGGCCAGCCATCCCAAGTCCAGCTCATCGAGCGTCGCATCGGTTTTGTTCACGAAGCCGGAGGCACGAGCAAGGAAACGTTCCATGGCCATGGCGTGCTTGACCTTGGCCTCCCGTTTCACCTTTCTGCCATCCCTTAGATGACCGCAAATGAAATCCCACTTCACTTGGTCCGAAGTCTTCATCCATCAGAGCACAACTTCAACCGACTACTGAATTGATAGCTTCAAACCAGCCGCACACGTGCCGGGTGGAACTCATCTCTCGCCGATGGCTTCGGGATCATTGTCTGGAGGCTATTGCCCAAGTGATTCTCGCCAGACTGGGAGAGCAAGTGAAGCAGTCTTCGTTGAAGTCTGGACACCTTGACTGTGCCCTGGCAGCAAGGCATAAAGGCATGAGTGGAAAAATCTTGGAAGCAACAACACGGCTGAAGCAGAACCATCCCGATCGCTGGCCTCGCACACAACGTCTTCGAAAGGCAATCTCATCAGGAACCACGAAGCAGCCGACAGTGGCACACCTGGGGACTGTTGTTCGTGGAAAAAGTATTTTGGGTTATGCAAGGCCTGCTTGCAGTTTCTGCTGAGCATGCGAGAGCATGGAGCACCTCTCCCACCTGCAAGGAATCTGAGCGTGGCAAAGACTGCAAAATCAACAGGCAAAACGAGTCCGAGCGACCTAGATTGGATGCCGAGGAATTTCAAGCATCTCTCCCATGCCGCCAAATCCAAGTCGAAAGCAAGACATCGCAAAGTGCCTCGCTCAGGAGCAAATTGCAAAATACAACTTACTCTGGCAACAGACGGACTGATCATGCTTCCCTGGTGCAGTCAGGCTCATTTGGTAGCAGCTCGAAGCTCTCATCGGGCTTGCAGCAGGTACTGATCAGAAGATCGAAGCCGGATAGGCAGCCGTCCTTCAAAGTCTTCTTGCAGCCCTTGACCTGGAGAGCTGAGGCAACCTGAGTTCTGTTAATGCTTCTATCATCAGTCATCGGATCGGAGTCAATTCAATGCAAAGGCACGTGACCACTGCAACTGGGTAGCCATGAAGTAGAGGCCCGGCAGCGTGACCCCATCGAAAGACAGCCGCAGCTTCCCTGCACCTGCTGAGAGCTGCTTACCTTTGTACCCCAACTTTCTGGGGATGTGGAGGTCGCAGTCAACGGACCACTTCCGAGAAAGCCTGGCCATCATCGTCTCTTTCCTTGGGTCGCCGGCACAAATCATCGAGGGTCGAGGGAGCATGCGTTCTCGTGCAAGGAGTAATTTCATCGTCTAAGCTACCAAGGAGCAACTTCGTGAACCAGTTTGTGAACTGCTGTTTGCGGGACAGCAAAGGCCACACCTCCGCGATGCGGAACAAATGCTCGTAGCCTTCCACACTTGTGCCTTCCACCTGCAGAGGCGGCGACACATCATGTCATTGCCGAACATTGCAGGCAGTGACAAGCACTCATCCAAATGTATGTCTAGACTTTGATCCAAGTAGCACGGTGAACACAAAGCACACCTGCACGTTTACCTTTGGTCTGCAGGAAGAGCGTGGTGGCCGGGGTGTAGCTTGAAAGCACCACCGCTTTTTTCTCCGTCTCCGTCTCAGGCGGACTGGAAGCTTCAGCGTCATCCCTGTTTGGAGAGTCGGGGACCATCTGTGCAGCCGGCGGGAACACCACGGGCCGGAGCACTAGTCCAGCAGCCGTAGCATCTGCACGGTTTGCTGCAACCACGGCCTCCAGAGGCATGGGTGTTGCGAAGCTCTCATGCAATAGTATGACTGCTGGACTATTGATTGAGGTGCAACGAAAGTCCAAGCCTCCCAGTCCGGGCCAGGCAACAAAGCTAGAGCATCAGACTCTGCCGTCTCGCCCTGTCGGATCTTGCGGTCCAAGATCTCGATCTTAAGCAGGAAGCGGCTGAGGAAGAGCTGCTTCTCCTCTGGGTCTTCGAGCCTGCAAGACAAAAAATGGGTCGGAACTACAGAGCTTTGTCTACCGCAGCTGCTCTTCAAATGCTATACTTTGTGCGTGGTATCTGGCAAGTCTATAGACCGGTATCCATCCAGCACGGTTAAGCCATCCAGCACGGTTAAGGCCGCCCGCCTCCTCGCGTCATCTATGCGAGCTTTCAGCCATGTCTCCATGCCACCTGCACGTAACAGTGCTGGATGATTCGGGTGGAAGGTTCGGGCTGCACTTAACAGTTCTGGATGGATCGGGCTGTGTGGATGAGCAGGCAACAGCCGGCACCGTGCGTGCACGTGCCCGCAGCTCACCTGCCCATCCAGCACGTTGAAAAGACGAGAACGAATTCCATCCAGCACGCGTTAATCGCACGTTTTCCCTGGGGCTTCTCAATAATTCAGAGTTTAGGCAGTTTGGCGCGTAATCGTGCTGGATGAGTGGGTGTGCTGCCGGCACGTTGCGTGCACGTGCCGGCCCATCCAGCACGCACAGCGGCACTCGCACACCGGTCCAACCATCCAGCACGGTCAATTGCACATCGGCCGCCGCCCCAGCCTTCCTCTTTACAAATGATCGATTGGGCAAGGAAGATATTGCCGGTACTAGCCCAGTACTACTCCTGGTACTAGCCAGTACTACTCCTGGTACTAGCCCAGTACTACTCCTGGTACTAGCCAGTACTACTCCTGGTACTAACCAGTACTACTGTTGGTACTAGCCCAGTACTACTGTTGGTACTAACCAGTACTACTCCTGGTACTAGCCAGTACTACTCCTGGTACTAGCCAGTACTACTCCTGGTACTAGCCCAGTACTACTCCTGGTACTAGCCAGTACTACTCCTGGTACCAGCCAGTACTACTCCTGGTACTAGCCAGTACTACTCCTGGTACTAGCCCAGTACTACTCTTGGTACTAGCCAGTACTACTCCTGGTACTAACCAGTACTACTGTTGGTACTAGCCAGTACTACTCCTGGTACTAGCCAGTACTACTCCTGGTACTAGCCAGTACTACTCCTGGTACCAGCCAGTACTACTCCTGGTACTAGCCAGTACTACTCCTGGTACTAACCAGTACTACTGTTGGTACTAGCCAGTACTACTCCTGGTACAAGCCCAGTACTACTGCTAGTACTAGCCAGTACTACTCCTGTACTAGCCAGTACTACTCCTGGCACTAGCCAGTACTACTCCTGTACTAGCCAGTACTACTCCTGGTACTAGCCAGTGCTACTCCTGGTTCGAGCCAGTATACTCCTGGCACAAGCCAGTGCCATTCCTGGTGAAGTCGCCGATTGTGCTATCTTCCCAGAGTACTCGCCCAAAGACAACATAGTCCTCTGTTGGCAGACTCTGAGCAAACTCCCAGTCGCCGATTGTGCTCTCTTCCCAGAGTTTGAGAACTCGCCCAATGACCACATAGTTCTCTCTCGGCAGACTCTGAGAAAACTCCCAGTCGCCGATTGTGCTCTCTTCCCAGAGTCTGAGAACTCGCCCAATGACCACACAGTTCTCTGTCGCCAGACTCTGAGAAAACTCCGATTCGCCGATTCTGCTCTCTTCCCAGAGTCTGAGAACTCGCCCAATGACCACACAGTTCTCTGTCGCCAGACTCTGAGAAAACTCCGATTCGCCGATTCTGCTCTCTTCCCAGAGTCTGAGAACTCGCCCAATGACCACACAGTTCTCTGTCGCCAACTCTGAGAAAACTCCCATTCGCCGATTGTGCTGTCTTCACAGAGTCTGACAACTCCCCCAATGACAACATTGCCCTCTGTCGGCAGACTCTGAGAAAACTCCCAATCACCGATTGTGCTCTCTTCACAGAGTCTAAGAACTCGCTCAATGACCACATAGTTCGCTGTCGGCAGACTCTGAGACAACTCCGAACTTCCATTCGCCGATTCGGCTCTCTTCGCAGAGTCTGAGAATTCGCCCAATGACCACATAGTCCTCTGTCGGCAGACTCTGAGCAAACTCCCAGTCGCCGATTGTGCTCTCTTCCCAGAGCCTGAGAACTCGCCCAATGACAGCATTGCCCTCTGTCGGCAGACTCTGAGAAAACTCCCATTCGCCGATTCTACTCTCTTCGCAGAGTCTGAGAATTCGCCCAGTGACCACATCGTTCTCTGTTGGCAGACTCTGAGAATACTCCCAGTCGCCGATTGTGCTCTCTTCCCAGAGTCTGAGAACTCGCCCAATGACCACACAGTTCTCTGTCGCCAGACTCTGAGAAAACTCCGATTCGCCGATTCTGCTCTCTTCCCAGAGTCTGAGAACTCGCCCAATGACCACATAGTTCTCTGTCGGCAGACTCTGAGAAAACTCCCAGTCGCCGATTCTGCTGTCTTCGCAGAGTCTGAGAATTCGCCCAATGACCACATGAGTGTCTGCCGCCAGACTCTCAGAAAACTCCCAGTCGCCGATTGTGCTCTCTTCCCAGAGTCTGAGATTTCTTCTAATGACAACATTGCCTCGTGTTGGCAGACCCTGAGAAAACTCCCACTCGCCTATTCTAGTCTCTTCCCAGAGTCTGAGAATTCGCCCAATGACAACATGAGTGTCTGCCGGCAGCCTCTGAGAAATCGCCCAGTCGCCGATTGTGCTCTCTTCCCAGAGTCTGAGAATCTGAGAACTCGCCCAATGACCACATTGTTCTCTGTCGGCAGACTCTGAGAAAACTCCCAGTCGCCGATTGTGCTCTCTTCCCAGAGTCTGAGAACTCCCCCAATGACAGCATTGCCCTCTGTCGGCAGACTCTGAGAAAGCTCCCATTCGCCGATTCTGCTGTCTTCACAGAGTCTGAGAACTCCCCCAATAGCAACATTGCCCTCTGTCGGCAGATTCTGGGAAAACTCCCAGTCACCCATTTTCTGCTTTCTTCCCAGAGTTTGAGAACTCGCCCAATGACCATATAGTTCTCTGTCGGCAGACTCTGAGCAAACTCCCAGTCGCCGATTGTGCTCTCTTCCCAGAGTTTGAGAATTGGCCCAATGACCACATAGTTCTTTCTCGGCAGACTCTGAGAAAACTCCCAGTCGCCGATTGTGCTCTCTTCCCAGAGTCTGAGAACTCGCCCAATGACCACACAGTTCTCTGTCGCCAGACTCTGAGAAAACTCCCAGTCGCCGATTGTGCTCTCTTCCCAGAGTCTGAGAACCCGCCCAATGACCACATGAGTGTCTGTCGGCAGCCTCTGAGAAATCTCCCAGTCGCCGATTCTGCTCTCTTCCCAGAGTCTGAGAACTCGCCCAATGACCACATAGTTCTCTGTCGCCAGACTCTGAGAAAACTCCCAGTCGCCGATTCTGCTCTCTTCCCAGAGTCTGAGAACTCGCCCAATGACCACATAGCTCTCTGTCGCCAGACTCTGGGGAAACTACCATTCGCCGATTCTGCTCTCTTCGCGGAGTCTGAGAATTCGCCCAATGACCACATGGGTGTCTGTCGGCAGCCACTGAGAAATCTCCCAGTCGCCGATTCTGCTCTCTTCCCATAGTCTGAGAACTCGCCCAATGACCACATAGTCCTCTGTCGGCAGATTCTGGGAAAACTCCCAGTCACCCATTTTCTGCTTTCTTCGCAGAGTTTGAGAATTGGCCCAATGACCACATAGTTCTTTCTCGGCAGACTCTGAGAAAACTCCCAGTCGCCGATTGTGCTCTCTTCCCAGAGTCTGAGAACTCGCCCAATGACCACATAGCTCTCTGTCGGCAGACTCTGAGAAAACTCCCATTCGCCGATTCTACTCTCTTCGCAGAGCCTGAGAATTCGCCCAATGACCACATGAGTGTCTGTCGGCAGCCTCTGAGAAATCTCCCAGTCGCCGATTCTGCTCTCTTCGCAGAGTCTGAGAACTCGCCCAATGACCACATAGTTCTCTGCCAGCCTCCCACTCGCATATTCTACTCTCTTCGCAGAGTTTGAGAACTCGCCCAATGACCACATAGTCCTCTGTCGGCAGACTCTGAGAAAACTCCCATTCACCCATTTTGGTCTCTTCCCAGAGTCTGAGAACTCGCACAATGGCCACATAGTTCTCTGTCGGCAGACTCTGAGAAAACTCCCAGTCGCCGATTGTGCTCTCTTCCCAGAGTCTGAGAACTCGCCCAATGACAACATTGCCCGCTGTCGCCAGACTCTGAGAAAACTCCCAATCGCCGATTCTGCTGTCTTCGCAGAGTCTGAGAATTCGCCCAATGACCACATGAGTGTCTGTCGGCAGTCTCTGAGAAAACTCCCAGTCGCCGATTCTGCTCTCTTCCCAGATTCTGAGAACTCCCCCAATGACCACATTGCCCTCTGTCGAAAACTCCCATTGACAGTTTGTGCTCTCTTCACAAAGTCTGAGAACTCGCCCAATGGCAACATTGCCCTCTGTCGGCAAACTCTGAGAAATCTCGCACTCGCTTATTTTGCTCTTTTGCCGGATTTCAGAACTTGCCCAATGACATATAATGTTCTCTGTCGGCAGACTCTGTGGAAACTCCCACTCGCCTATTCTACTCCCTTCCCAGAGTTTGAGAATTGGCCCAGTGACCACATAGTTCTCTGTCGGCAGCCTCTGAAGACAATTCCCATTCGCCGATTCTGCTTTTTTCGCAGAGTCTGAGAACTCGCCCAATACCAATTAAAGTTCTCTGGCAGACTCTGAGAAATCTCCCGTTCGCCTCCGGTTTCGAAATGCGGTGGCTTCCATTCGCAGCCCAAGCCCATAACCTACTGTCACGATGCCAGTCGATTCTGCGGTAGCTTTGACAGCTGGCTTTGCAAAGCTTTTGTTTATGCCTGGGAACACACCCCCCAGCCCGGTTTGAAGAATCCTGTATATACTTCATTTCGACTCAAACTCATATCCAAACAGAAACGACGTTTCCGGCCAGGGCCGGGCTCGCTTACTGTAAATTTTCCTTATATAAATGTTTGTTGTCTGTACCAAGCACCCAGGGAAAACGTCTATGACAATGGCAAGAAGCTGCAAGCAATGATGTCTGAATGTCTACTTTACACGTCAGTTATGATTGGACGGACGAACGTACCAGCATCAGTATGTCGCTGAACAGCATGGCGGCCTGGCCTGGGGATGGGACCAGCAGGCTGTGTCAACAAAGCGAGCCTAAAGGCGTGCTTCCTCTGTGCTTGCTGAATCTCAAGGATTTGAGATTGCAAATAAGTGATAAGGATTTCTGCACTGTGTTGGGTCTACAAAGAAACCTCGTCGTGGCTCAAAGTTTGCTGAACCTAGACTAGAGAGTCACTCAATCATGAAAGCAGTCAGACACTGGAAGCCGCCCATGGCTGCAGTTTGCTCGGAGGTTTGTGCTTCCCTGACATACCAAAGTAGTCAAGCTTGCTGTGCGATTTCGAAAAAAAAAAAAAAAGAGAGGAGGCACATTGCAGAGGCATGTCATTTTTAAGCATACCCTGGCGTGTTCCGGTGCCTGGGGCTCTTCATGCCAAAACCTCGCCACATCGTGCTCAAGTCCATGAGCTGCAGTTCCGTCCTGTGGGGTGGTTCATGACATTAAGACTGGGTCTGTCAATGTCTGCGAGCACACGTTTCCTGACAGAGCATGCTAACCAAAACCCTCTGCGAAAGTCCTGCGACTCATCGTACCAAAACCTTGCTTGGTGGCAGCGGCCCATTGAGCTGGACTTCACTCCTGAGGGTGGTCTATGACATGATCTGAGCTTTAACTGTATCATCACACTGCAACACAAATGCAAGCAATCATTCAAGTCATTTAAAACCAGGACTCATCATGCAACCATCGCCGTGTGCTCAAAGCCCGTGGGAGTCATGATCTATGAGACGGTATCTGAAGAACATCTTTGATGAACCATACGATTGGGAATCCCGGTCGTTCTCCTGCGACTCCCCGGCTTCGACTCTGGCTGCATGCTCCTGCCAAATCCAAAGCTTCGTATGTTGCTAACGAAACAACAAAAGCGCTCAAGACTGCTACATCCTTCAGCACACGAGGCCACTGCATCAGGGCTCGTTTGCCCTTCAACGTCAGGGAGTCTGCAGCCAGACGAGCGGTTTCGCCGAGCTGCCGTGTCCAGTCGCCTCTCAGCAGGCGAGGACACAAACGACACGAAGAATTAGCCGAGGGGCCTGTCAAGTCGCTGAGGGCATCCACAGCATCGTCCAGGGTCAAAATGTCCTCGGACTGCAGGATCGCAGCGAAGTGGGCAACATCGCACCTTAGTTCTGACCCATCGAAAGGAACCTCAATGCTTAGCTTCTTGCTGGCTGCAACTGTCAGTTTCGAATGAATGAAACCGAGAAGCTTAGACTGGCTGGCAGGGAGCAAAGCCAAAAGCAAATCATCGATGGGAGGGACGGTCTGCTCCTCGGGCTCCTTGTCGAGCTTCTCATCATCATCAGGCTTCTCCTTGCTGTGCTCCTTGACGAGCGGGGTGTCGCCCTCGTCGCCACTCTCGCCCTTCTCCTCCTCCGCCTGCTCCGCCTTGGCCTTTTTGGCTTTGGTGGCTTTGTGTGGAGCCACTCTACCAAACTTGCCCTTGAAGAGGTCATCGTCATCATCATCATCACTGTCGACTTCCGACAAATCATCATTTTTCGCACTCTCACATGGTGTGGCCGGAGGCTCCCGCTTCGCCTTTTTGGGCTTCTTCGTGGTGCTGGGGGTGTCAAAGTCCAGCTGTCGCTTCACGGAAGGGGTGCATTTGCCTCGTTTGCGCCTCGGGGTGCCGCCCTTAGCCTTGCTGTCAGGGTGCTTGGAGGGCTTCTGCGGGGTCTTCTCCGCCATCTCCTCCATGTTCTTCTGGCTCTCCTGCAATCAAGCAACACTTATTCAACCGATGTCAAAACACAACAGAGGCAGTGCACATGAGCTCAGAAACGACATGACATAACTCCGTATGCTCTCGGGCAGCATCACCTTTTGCTCTGTCGCACAAGGATCTGCAGACAGCCAGCCATTCCAGGCACAGCAATTCCCGGCCTTTGGCCCGTTGCCACACTATTTACACATCACTTCCTCGGGCGGCCATGGTGCTTGTCATCGGAGCTGCGGCGACCGCCCCCACCACCACCACTGCCACGGTGCCGGCTGGCTAGAACAGCTTCCTTTTCCTTCTGCCTTTTCAGAGGCCTGGGTGCTCCACCAGCAAAGACTACAGAAGTATGCACTCCAAACATGAATGAATGAAGACCGCACACAACAGCAAACTAATCAGCACCAAGTTGCGGCTCGGCATCTTGATCATCATCATAGGACTCCTCCTGTGCCTCCTTTGGAGTCTCATCTTTGGCCCGAGCCTTGGCCCTTGCATGAAGGACATGCGACGGCGGCATCGGCGGAGTCTTGGGAACCGCCGAGCCACTTGCAGCATCCCTCATTTGGCAGCTCCCGGGGCCAGGCATCGGTCGAGGGTTCGTTGGCTCATCCGGAAAGAAGCGGCCGAAGATCTCCAGGGTGCCATGGTCCAGCCTGAAAACTCCAACTTTGCGGACTGCCGGTTTCGGCGGGGCCGGCGCCTCGTCCAGCTTTGACTTCGCCGGCGTCTCGTCCTGCTTTGGCTTCGGCGGCACTTTCGGCTTCGGTGCTGCCGTGGGCCTTGAAGCCTCCGAAGGCGTCTTCGTCTCCTTCGGGCCGGGCTCCTCCTTCAAC